ATTTAGCGCAACCGGCTAGTGTCACAGGAGAACAAATGTCCCCATACCTGATGTGGTGGATCTCACTGAGTCCAAGTAGCTGAGTGCTTTACAAACTTGCTTCGTAGCTGGTTAGTCCTAGGCTTGAATCTCGGTGAGTGTGCGTACTGGTGAAGAGTCTCAAACTAGAACAAGACAGCTGTTCAGTATTCTCTGGTGGTTTTTCAATGGTTTTGCTAACTGATGTGACCTCGTGATCAATCCTGTAACCGATTAAATCTTAACAAATCAACACTCGATGATAAGTAATTTAATAATAATAAATAATAATAATTTTTCCTTCACGTTCCCAGTGGAACATAGGGCTCCAAGCTAGTGGCTTGAAGTTTCTGTAGCAGTGTTTAATTTTTACAGGATAGGGTTGCTAGCCTCATGCCCAACCTTTCCTCTTTACCAGGATTATTTCTGGCTCAGTGAGGTAAAGGAGTGCGCCGGCCGGGATAAATTAAGAACAAAAGTTTTGGTGAGATAATATGATATCATGTCATTTTGTCATATCTTAAAAGTTGCTTGTAGCCTTAAAGCAACGATCTATTCAATCGAACAAAATCTTCACAGTGTCTAACAAATTCAACAGGAACATTTTGTTGTAGAGGGATGATATTTCTGGGGCATAATTAGAAACAAGACATTTCAGTGAACAATGTTGTTTTCAGTTAGATCTTCTTCGAGCTTTACTCTAATTTACATAGATTTATATATAAAATTTTTAACCAATGACGGTGATTTTGTGGATCAAATAAAATAATAATAATAATAATAGTATGGTAAATGTTTTGAATGTAGTTAATAACGATGATTATAATGATAACAAAATATTGGTAATAAGGTTTATGCAGGTGGCGATAAGAATAACAAAGGAAGTAAAATGTGTATATGCAGACAATTCAATCAATACAATTGGTGGATGGTGGCTAGCAGTAGAATCCAGGATAACGCGCATTTCGTCCTATTTGGACTCGTCAGCTGGATGTACCTGCATTTCTCAGTGAGTGATGATGTTCCCACCGAGGCTCGAACCCAGTACCCATAGTTTCAAACGCCGAAGCGTTATCCACTAGACCACTTGGGCCACGAGAGCCACCTCTTGTGCAACGGGTCATATTAATTATTGAATTGAATTTTTGATTTTCCCATCTATTGATTGGACCGAAGTGCTCGGTCTCAGGTTGACATGTCGGCTTCTTGTGCAGATGCTTCGACGATGTCTGGGTATTTAGTTAGTATACAATTGGTGGATGGTGGCTAGCAGTGGAATCCAGGATACGCATTTCGTACACTAATTAAATGCCCAGACATCGTCGGAGCATCTGCACAAGAAGCCGACATGTCAACCTGAGACCGAGCACTTCGGTCCAATCAATCGATGGGAAAATCAAAAATTCAATTCAATAATTAATATGACCCGTTGCACAAGAGGTGGCTCTCGTGGCCCAAGTGGTCTAGTGGATAACGCTTGGGGTTTGAAACTATGGTACTGGGTTCGAGCCTCGGTGGGAACATCATCACTCACTGAGAAATGCAGGTACATCCAGCTGACGAGTCCCAAATAGGACGAAATGCGCGTTATCCTGGATTCCACTGCTAGCCACCATCCACCAATCGTATACTAATTAAATGCCCAGACATCGTCGAAGCATCTGCATAAGAACCGACATGTCAACCTGAGACCGAGCACTTCGGTCCAATCAATCGATGGGAAAATCAAAATTCAATTCAATAATTCAATAAATAAACTAGGTCAAATCTCAAAAGTTACGTAATACTAAATGTGAATTGGACAGATAATCAAAGTTCAGATAAATATCATAAAAATACGAAGGAGATGGCAAATACGAAAGGGTGGGGGGTTTTTGAATAGAATTCACCTTGGCCAAGGTAGAGACAAAGCTAGAACAAACTTTGTTTTTATGCAAAGAGTGGGATTGTTCTCTCGAATTCCATAGCTTCTGCTCTGTGTAAAAGACGGATTTGAATTCCGTTCGAAAGGCTCGGTGGAATGCGACAGATAACTTTGAAAGCGCTATTTTTGTCCACTTGGTGACCACTTTCAATCAAATGAGTCGAAATAGAAATTCTTATGGATTTTATTTGACCATGAACCGAACCATGAAGGAAGATGCTCATTAATGCGTTTGTGAAGCTGTCTAGTTGTTCACCCCATATATAACTCTCTCCACAGGAGCAGCTAATTTTATATGCAGACACATAGAAGTGGTACAGCTAGGTAACTTGTCTTTCACTTGAGCAATCATAATTGGCCGACTGGAAAATGACAAACAGAGGGTGGTGGCAGTATAAGTCCGTTTTAACCGGTGTCGATAATCTTAGATGTAAGACTTCGCTAGCCACATCCCCATTAAGTTGCAGTTTCAAGGAAAGTTGCTTCTTTTTAACTGTTGTCAGTTTTTCTTTATTGTACCTGGTATTCATGTGTCTCCTTACAAATCTACTAGGATAACCGATTTGGACCAACGTATTTTGAATGTATCCCAGTTCATTTTCTAGGGAGTTATCTGTACAGATACATCTTGCTCTATTCATGAGGCATCTGACCACATTGACTTTGGATCGGATTGGTACAAAACTGAGGAAATGTGTATATTGTCCTACAGATGTGGGTTTTCTATAGACATCTCTCTCTTCTGCTCAGTTCGACGTCCAGGAAATGTAGTCTGCCATCATATTCTTCTTCACAAGTGAAGATGAGCGATGGATGTGCACCACTGAATTTTATTAACATTTTATTCTTGTCAGCTTTCACATCAAAAATAATAAAGGTATCATCAATATAATTAGAAACAACGATTTTCAAGTAAATGAAGTTACGAGTGATGTTAAAAGTCTCTATTATACGAAAAGACTTAATGAATGCTCTAGTAATAAGAATGGTTTCTAGTCACCGTATGAAACCAAATGAACAGAAGGAATGAAACGTACAATTTAAGAACTGATAATATTGTGAAATACTCGCATAAATGTGATTGCTATTTGAGGATTAAAGCAAAAAAGTAGTATTTTTTAAGAGAAATAGTAAGTACTTCTTTCTAAATAAAAGAATTGAAATATGGGTGTGTCCATGGTAGAGCGTTAAAAATGCTCGCCAACAAAGACTCATGTGGTCCAAGATTCGATCCTTGGTCAACACACACACTTCTACACCTCTCTAAACCAGTAGTAAATCCAGTAAAGAGGGGAAGCTGGACGTGAGGCTAACAACCTCACCTCGTGAAAATAAAAAAGTACCCACTGCTACCGAAACTTCAGAGCTGAAGCTTGAAGGCCTATGTTTCACTCGGGAATAAAATAAATAATAAAGGGGTTGGGACATAATGAATTAATAAAGCAATGATACACCCTTACATACCTGAACTAGCGCCTCTAGGATACGGGTAAAAATGAAGCACTCCTAATGTAATAAGCCATATATATCCTAACGTAAAATTATGAAAATACAACTTTATATATATTAACCTTGAAGCTTGTTACTTAGATACGACTATCAGGTATCATCTGCTACTGCAGACAAACAAAATCTGAGAAACTATTCGAATAAATATCTTAAAAACATTTTTTAAATTCATAATTTAATGTCAGATATTTAAGAAATACAGACTTTGAGCAACAGTTGCCTTCGCTGCCTCCATACTGAAGATCACATGATCAGAAAGGATGAACAACAAGAAACTCTGAAAACGAACTAACCAATAAACTGAAACTTAACAAACATGGCAAAGAAAATGGATATGGATCGGGAGCACACTCAGGAGACCATCAAGCTGCATCACACACCAAGTAGACTCTTAACTGAAACCCGATTGGCAAGCGATAAGTTAGAAATGGGTTTGAGGGTGACTTGGAGTTTGTCGAGTGAGGAGGAAATGACAGCCCATGGACAATCATCGAAGTGCCATGAAAGGAGTGCAAAGAACAACATGAAATGGAGGTGTAATGTTGCAGTCCTATTTTCCACTAGGAACCTAAGGGAATTATAACAATAATGTAGGAAATATATTACTTTCATCATTATCTGAATACAGCTACGAAATGTATCACTGCAATTAGATCATCGTTACGATGACCTATACACCCAATAGGCTTTGTGGCTATTTTCCCAAAGAAACATAATAAACTCTAGATCACTTTTATATTACTTAAAGTTATGTTAGTGTATTGATTTCTTAAATATCGTCTGAGAGACAATGAGTGATCAGCGAGAAAAGCCGCATATTTCATAGATAGTTATCGATCACATCACCTGTGGCACGGATTATTCAATAAACGTTTTTTTAATAAAAGTGTTGGTTTGCAGGGATTTGATTGGTTACAGGATTTCATCATAAGCTGACATCGGTTAAAGAACCATTGGAAAACGTTTTGGAAGTGCTGGATAGGCGTTTCGTCCTAGTTTTGTAGACTTTATTGGTATGCACCCAGCGGGGTCTCAACCTAAGATCTTCCAGTTCCAAGTCAAGCCTGCAGACCATTAAGCCACTGGGATCTGATCCAGTGGCCCATGAATTTCAGCTTCTTCTAATCTACAATATAGTGTGACCACTAGCTCATATCATCTGTGGCGTGTATTTGTCCTCACTTGCAGTCGGATGGATCCCACTGGTCACGACTTGGTGGTCTACCAGCTGACCTTGTGACCGGAAGACCCTGGGTTGTAACGTCATGTGATAGGCGCATCCTGCTAAAGAATCCCAAGTTAGGACGAAATAACTGACTGTTCAATACTCCGAGGATTTCGAATGGTTCTTCAACCGATGTCAGCCCATAATGAAATTCTGAAACGTTTTTTTTTTACCTTAACTTTTACACCATCACTGTGGTAGTTGATTTCATCATATGTAAAAGAAACATTTCAGTGGTTTTTAAGCTAGGTATTGTTACAGACTGTTTTATAGTTCAAAATACTTACATTCCCACTATTCCTTTTATTTTTTTTTATTTTTCAGGGTATTTGATCTATTAACTTTAAGTCATTTGAAAAAACAAAATTCACCATCATATACACATGAACGTTACATTAGTCAAATGACAAATTTTCCTGAACCAATTAACTTAATGTATTCGTCAAACTTCATTAATCAACCAGGACGTAAATCAATTCGAGCTAGTGGTACTGAAATACACAATCAACAGTCAGCATATTTAAGTCAACATGACAACACACTGAAACCATCAGGTTATTATCATACAATCCCTTCTGAATCAAACACTTATCCAGAAGATGATACTGTTCATTCATTTATTCCATTCGGTAGTACTATTAAAAGTGATAATGATCTTTCAGCTCATGAAACAGGAATATGTCATGCATTGACTGGACTTACAAATCGTCAACGTTATATCTGCTTGCAACATTCTGGTCTTATATGGGCAATGCTTGAAGGGACACATTTAGGTATGCATGAATGCGTTCACCAATTTCAACATGAACAATGGAATTGTTCTGCAGTTAATTTATTATATCGTTTACATATGAAATCATCAAGCTTACCGTCAATACACGGTTTGGAAGGGATATTACAACGCGGTAAGTTTTATTTTTAACTAGTAGTAGTGATTTTATTTTGAAAGTTACTTTAAAAATATATATATTAACCGGAATTTGAGACATCCGATTATCATGTAAGTGCTGTGTGCAGAAATGCTTCCAGGTGTTCGTTTTTGCAAAAAAGGTGTAAGACACTAAGTTTCAGTGTTAACAGATGTTGATGTTCACACACATAAACGATGCCGATGTATTTTACAGGGAGAAATAAAATAGCTTTGTTCTACAACTTGTGTAGATTTATATATTATGAAAAACTGGGATAAAATGGGGCCACTTAAGAACAACAACAACAACAACGCAAAACACTCATAAAAAGAAAAAAAGTAAACACTGGGAAATTCTTTTTGAATATATATATGACGAATTTTTGTATAGTTTTTGATGAAATTCATAATAATACTTTTAGCAACACAAATAATAAGTTAGGTTTTGAGATAATGGAGATTTGTAGCTCAGATGGATGATATATTTTTTTGGCTTATAGCTTCATCCCACACTGGATTTTTGGTACCACTATGGGATTTCCAGCATATGATATCATTAACCCAAATTTCCCAGGCCGACTGTTGATATTAGGTGTGCGTCGGCATGGATTCGAACCCTGGACTATGTGCATGATTGGCGAGAGCCCTAACCGCTGTGCCACCGACGCACGGTTGTGTTCTCTGAACTGGTTGATTTAAACGACCGGCTTTCATCGTCCCCCTTCTTGACAACATCTTCAGCGCAGGTATTAGCACAAAAGAGAACTCAATTACATTCTCCATGAATGATGTAATTGTATCACGTGGCCAATACTGTCGTAACTGGTTGTTAATTTACGCCTGCATTGATCTTGTTTATTGACTTGGAATACGAACTTTGATTATGGATAGAAATTTTATTTTGATAAAGTCATACAGTGTTGTACAGCAATATTTACTCACACAACTTTGTTTGATTACCTTGATTTAACTATGAGCAATAAACTTTTGCTTAAAACTTTCAGGTATTGGTTTTGTAGGGATTTCGTTTGATTGCATGGAGGATTTCCCCATGAGCTGACATCAGTAAGAGAACCACGGTGAAATCCTCCATGTAGTCAAACAAAATCCCTACAAAACCAACACCTGAAAATTAATCTGAGGCTCACTGGTGACTGGCCCTATTCAGGCAGTTAACCTGGGGTTCTAGTGGGAAGCCGTGACCAGTAGGGTGCAGCAGGTTGAAAATAAGGCAGTTAATTATCGAAGAAGACATTGCGAAGTGGTCCCGCTATGTCGTGAATTTTGCTTGAAACGTTATTATTAAATATTACTGTATAACACTGTGTGACTTTATCAAAATAAAATTTTTATCCGTAATAAAAAGGTAAACCACATGACGAGAAAGTTCGACTTCCAATTCAATAAACATGATCAGTGTAGACGTAAATTAACAACTAGTCACGAAAGTGGTCGCCAAGCGATACAATTACATCATTCGTGTAGAATTTAATTAGATTCACACTTCTAAACTAAAACCTGCGCTAAAGATGTTGTCAAAATGGGAGGCGATGAAAGCCTGTCAATTAAATCAACCAGTTCAGAGAACATAACTAATTCAATAAGTTAAGTTACTGAAATGCCGCCTGATGCATACAGCATAGAGATGAAGTAGGTTATCGATTTGTAATTTAATAATGTGTCACAGTTAGTTCATTGGCACTTTTCACAAGTCAATACGTCAACAAATTCCTAATCTTTAGAGAGAAAATAATAAGTATAAGAATAAAACTTGTGCACTGTGGTAGAGTATAATTCCATTATGGGTAAATTTTTGTTTTGATAAAGTCTCACAGTGTTATACAGTAATGTTTACTGATGACCAGGTTTCGAGCACAATTTATTGCTACTCATAATCATATCAAGGTACTTACACGACTTCCTAACTTCATTTATATAGTTCCATTATTTTTCACTTGATTTGATCGGTAGTAGTATTTTCCATATTTCAGGTATGAGTGATGAATCATTCCTATTGCATGTGTTGTGTTGGATGTAGACTCGATGAACAAGGATTCAGTAATCAACCTCTCTCTCTCCATCTACATGGATTACTTTTAAAATTCTAACCCTCCCCCACCCTATTGTGTGGTTGTGTGTTAATGCGTGCAGTGCGATTGTCGAGTTTTTTCTAAATTAATTATCTTCTCGGGGTCAAATATTCTTACCTTAGCTGAATTCTTATGTTCCGACAATCTGATTACCTCCGACCTACTAGTTTGACCTATGTAGTTGACTCAACTCACAGTCATTGCAGGGTATTTTGTAAATTACATTATTTTGTCTAATTGGGTCCACCGGGTCTTTTAGCCTACAGAGCTAGTCCTGTCTGAGTGAGTTTGTAGGTTTGAATGCCACCATAATTCCTGCTCTATTAAGAATCCTACGTAGGGTCTAGGATGTCTTCTCCTTATATGGTATAAAAGTGGATGACTTATATTCTCTCTTATTTATGTTATTTTTAATAGTTTCACAATTATTTTCGTTTTTCGTTTGGCCTTTTTCGATCTTCCTAATGAATTTTAAAGGATAGTTATTTAACACCAACGCCTTTTCTATCTGTTTAGTTCATCATTTAGGTCTTTTTTGTGCTCATTAGGGCTACTGCTTGGTTTGTTATACACACTGAACTAAGCCTGCCTTAACAGTTAACGGATGAGATGAATTAAAGTCTAAGTATCTATTAGAATGTGTTGGTTTTCTATAAACACCAGTGTGTAGTTCGCCTTCTTCTATTCGTTTTATCTTACAATCTAACATAGCTAATTCTCCTTGTTCATTTTCCGATGCAAATGTGAATTTTATCACCTTAACTAGTGATGAGTGAGTTTATATGTGTCAAGAAGCTATTTAAATGAAGTTAGGAAGTCGTGTGAGGAGTACCTTGATATGATTATGAGTAGCAATAAATTGTGCTCGAAACCTGGTCATCAGTAAACATTACTGTATAACACTGTGAGACTTTATCAAAACAAAAATTTACCCATAAGGAAAAGAATAAGTAACTCAGCGAAGATATAGATATTTTCTATGCACTAACCCTCAAAAGCAGGTGAACAATCACATTTTTCTGCATAGATACAGTTATCATTTAATATAGCTAAAATATGTATTCAGATATCTGGAAAAAATCAAAAAAATAGGGCAAATAATATCCTTTTCGATAATTTCCTTTTCTGGCTCTACAATTATATATGTATATATGTTTATATACATTGAATATTCGAGAATAGTAGTCAGTAACAATAGTGATGGTTTTAAATACTAACAATTTGTTAAGTAAGTCAGTGGAATTTCAGTCCACGAAAGATGCATAAATTATAATAAGCATACAAATATAAATAGCAAATAGAATATCAAATAAAAATTGAGGAAATTTCCATAACAAATTGAGGATTATTGAAAGCTTGATGACCAAGGTAAGGACAGTGCCTGAACCAATCAGCTTCTTTTGGACATATAAGTTTGTTTTCTTAATATGGAACCCAAAGGTCACAGCCATATATAGTAGACGAACTGTTAAGGTGAAGTTAAGATCAGTTGGTATGCGGTAAATAACTTTGAAAGCCTCTTTAACATAAATCTTGTGTTCTGTATGCACAGGATGAGATAGAACAACGCTATGAATGGATTTTGTTCTCAAATCAAATGAGGAACACTCCTCATTGTGCAGCCTATGTAACTCTCTCTACAGGAGCAGTTAAATTGATAAGTATACATCTGTCTGTCTGTCTGTCTGTGCGGAAGTTCAAGTCGCCACACTCCGTGTAGCACACAAGCAAGAGAAGAAAGTACAAGAAAAGCATAATAGAGACAGTAAGCAAAGGTGTGAGACAATGAAAGAGTAAAAACGAAGAACAAAACAGTTTCATTGGAAATCATAAATCACAAGGAGTGGATGCATCTGCGCCACTGAGAACGATTTTGAGCCATGTCACCAATTGTTTCCAACCATTTGTTTTTACCGTCCCGAGGACCCCAACGAGGAAGTCTACACCTTCCTACGAGGCTTAGACTAACTGTTGTGAATTTCATTGACTGGTGCCATATTTCGCTTTGATCGCCGCTAGCTTTTTTCCAGCCTGACCCTACATCCGCTAACATTGCTCGTCGAGAAAGGCAATGACTAGACATACGTAACACATGTCCTAACCATCCCAGTCTATGTAACTTCACAACCTCGTCGATTGATTTCCCCTCCTTACCTAGAACTCGACGCTTAACCTCAATATTGCTCACCTTATTATTCCACTTTACACGGGAAATAGAGCTCAGGCACCTATGATCAAAGACAGCTAGTCTCTTCATATCTTCCACTCTCAGTGGCCATAGAGGAGGAGAAATTAGGCAGTTTCTCTTCTACTCCCGAAAGCCAAATAGGGGTGGTTTTGAAGACACAGTGCAATTCAGCAGCATTGAATGATCTTTTTACTGCATTTCTACGGCGTTGTGTTAAAATCCCCAAGGAACTGACGTCGTAAGAATAAGGCCTTTTTAGGAGCTGTTGGCACCCTGGGCTGCATTGATTTTTGATTCGCATTTCTATCAATGAATTTTTATGGATAACCGTTCTCACTCAGCAACTATTTGATAATATTAAGTTCTTCATTAAGCCATTCATGAGAGAAGATTGCGTTTGCTCTGTGGACCAAACACTTTATCAGATTACGTTTGTATTTCAAATGCACGAAGGTAAAGTATGAGTATACTGATCAGTTGATTAGGTTTTCTATATACATTTCTTCTTATTGTGTCATCCTCTTTACTGGTCATAAGGACGTTTAAAAATTAAATACTAGAGTCTTTCTCTTTCTCAATGGTTAAATTTATTGCAGGATGAACATCGTTAAATTATTATGATTCTTTAATTCATCATAATGATAAAGGGAGATTAAAGATGGCGATACTTTTAAACTTGATATAAAAACTTTAGCTGTGTGAATGTAGATCACAAAG